AGATAACCAGACTCTACGATATGTTACTTGTACAGTATCTTAAAAAGATATGACTCTGCAGAGGGTGGACTGGCTCTGGCTTGATCTGTCCTTAATCTCCACTGGTAGAAAGGAGTTTGAAACTTGAGTGAAATCATGCCATCTTGTCACTCCCCACTTCCTCCTGCGTCCAAGATGGCGTTGAGAAAAGAGTTCAGCTTTGCATTTCTGTTAAATCACAACTTTCACACTTCTAGGCTAGAGCTAATGCTGCAGACTGTCGTAGAAAATAATTGGGAAATTTCAATCACAGGTCATTTGTCCTCATGCTAAATGAACTGAGCTGTATCAGCAGTAACTGAAGATTCAGATCTGCATTTAAATCTTGAAGCAGTTAAGCTGGTTCTTAATTTTAAATTTACAAATTATCTTAGTAATTTCACCAAAAAAAGGCTGTGTGGGATGATTACAGTCATCTTTAGATGGACTGGAACCAGCAGCTTGCTGGAGACATCTTTCCACACAGCTGGGATGCTCTCAGTACCAAGACTTGAGCTTTCCTAGTTTGCAACTGAGCTTCTGTAGCAAATGTTTGGGTTTGTGCCTGGCACTTTGATGGGTGCTACCCACTTGAGTGTGGTGCCGCTTGTTATTCCAGTGTTCTGCTTTACACCACTAGAACTAAGGCAGGATGGGCTACATTGGCACATATTGTCAGGAGCTGAAGGGGAAATTGTGGATTTGTTACTTCCAAGTTGGAGCCTAGTTGCAGTATTGTAACTTAACTGTTGGAACCAAAAATGCTGGTTCTGGAGGAATTCCTTATGAGTTTTGTTGAACTGGCTAGGTTTAAATGCAGAGTATACGTGGTGAAGAGTGGTGGGGAAAACAGTTACGATACTCAGCTGGAAGGAGTCCTACAATGTGTCTCCTGGGACACCAGAGTAGCAATGTACTAAGGGTTAACCTGGCTGAATGTCCTTTTCGACAGACTGATGGAGGAGGTTATTTCTAGATGTTGAAATCAGTAGAGGCAGGGAATTTCCAAGAGGAGTTGAAATAATCTATTTGTATAGTCAATTTCAAGGATTAACCAAAATTAAGATTTTAATTTATATTACCATGTCTTAATATTGCTTTTTGTAATAAGTTTGTGCAACAATTACTAAAAATGTAAGCAACCTTACTTATTTTGCAGTACTGAAAATCTGATGTAAATTTTATGATAATATATACTGGGTTCCCTTTCTCTTAGGACTATTTGTATGTAATCAAGCTTATTGTGCATGTGAATACAATTTACACATTTTGTGCTGTCTTCAAATAACTCATTTTCTACTCACAGATGTACATAAAATCAGGCAGGGAGATAAGTAGCATTATATATAAAAAACAATAGTCATGTCTGTGTGAGTCTATAGACAGCAGGATCCTGCGATACTTGGAATAATGAAAGCATGGTTTATAAAAATATATGTGGAGGAAAAATATAGCTGGTTGAGAGCTGTGCTGACTTCTGTGAAAAGTTGCTTTTGTTTATGTCAGAGAGTGTGGTGTGGGTTAAAGGAAAGTACTTTTGTATGGTTTTGCCATGCTATTGTTGCCCAGTAGATCATTTGCTATTACTGCGTCCTGCTAGAGAAGTAATGAAAAATTTCCTGTACATAATGAGTGCCTAACCTTTATAAGGTTAGATATAAAAGCCCACTAAAGCCTGTTCGCTCACTTCTCTTTGACTTTGGTCATGATGTTGTGGTTAGATGGGTCTTTTCTTGTAAGAAGAAGGCATCATTTCTAGATTCCTTGGTGGTTTGGAGAGAGGAGGTGTGTTTAGGAGGAAGGAACAGTCTGCTATATAGTCTTACATTACTGTGTCACTGTGGTGCAAGATTCGTAAAACAGCTTTGAAATACCTGTTCCTGCAATGATAACAGATGACTAAGAGCTTAAAAATAGTAAAAAAAAATAAATTACTATTCTAAGTAGTGTTTGTGCATATCCCTTGGGGATCAAATGCATTATACTGCTGCAGTCTCTGAAATGATATTAAGTGATGATGATTAGTTTTGCATTCAGGGATTTATTGTTTTGTTTTGTTGTGGGGGTTTTTTTTGTGTTGTTTTTTTTTTTAAAGAAAAGAAGAAAATACCTCTTTATGGCTTTTAGTAAGTTTACTGCCACAGCTTTTGGATGTTATGCATTTAGATATTTTACAGAATAATGATCTGGCACTAATGGAAGAGTAGACCAGTTTCCAAAGTGCGCAGGGTCCTTTTAAGATCTGTCTCATGGTGGCCATACCTCCAGTTTTCCTTGTACCTCATGAGCTTACTAGGTAGCCCACATCTCTGACACTTCATTTATCCTGATTTTACCTTGGCACTATTAATTGTTACTGACCTTAGAAAGTTACTGGACCTCAAGAACTTGTACTCTTTCTTCACACGAGCCTGCAATTAGCATAACGGAGATGATTATAAGCCCTCACTGTATTCTGGCTCTGGTTGTCCCTGAACAGTTAGCTTAATCCCATTTAAAAATAATTCTCCATTTGGAAGCTGAGGAGGTTCTTGTATTTAGCCAGCTATCTTTTGGAGTTACTCTTCACTGATTGAAGGGAGTGACTTCAAATATTATTATTTCATCTTATTGGACAGTTATAATTTATTTCTAAGCAGTAACCAAACCAGAAGTTGTACTTAAATAAATTTCCATACCTGTCCTCTCTTCTGAAAGAGCTGACATGTCCCTATTGACATTTGCTGATCCATTTCATGGCTATATACTTTATTTTCAGGCTGGCATACAAAGCTAGTAAGAGTCTGGGAGAGGACAAGCTGGTGTTAGTCCCACTGTGCTGGCATGTAACTTTTTTATAGCATTGTTAACCTCTTAAAGGTGAGGCCAAGTAATTAAATTTAGGGAAGTTACCTGGGATTACATGGTTACATGAAATTATTTCACTACCACAACCCTGCTGAATTTTGGAGAAAGCCTTGTAACTATTCAAGTCATCTGGCAAAATGGCAAGGGCTGAGGTCGAACAGTTATGTTTCCAAAAGCATATCCTTCTCTGTGCATGTAGCTCTCATTAATTCAAATATTCTTTAGTTAGGGTTGTGGCTACTCTTATAAACCCTTTAATAGCTAATTAAAGTACACTTTGGAAGTTGGGGAGCTTCTACTGTTTGCATAACCTTGGGTTTCCTGATTTATTAGAAGGGTAGGATCTAGTGACTTAAATCCTTGAATGCCCTGCCATCACTACTCAGGAATTTGGGAATACTACGATCTATATGGGAAAAAACAGCTGTTACATTTCCTAGAGTGAGGGAGTATGAGCCTGTGACATGATCCTCCCTAATTAAATTGCTTGGCATTGGGGAGAGGAGGATGCCCTTCATTTTTTTTGAGTTTCAGCCTACTGCAAAAACAAGACAAAGTTAAATCTCCTGTACAAAGGCAGATATTAATCCTTTCCAGAAACACGGAACTGGCCCAGAGGCTTTCCTGGGGGGCTCAGTCAGGGTGGATATGTATTAGACCTGTGCCCCATATTCTTCTGTCACAGCAGCCCTTAATCAAAGGCAGTTCAATGAATTTTGAAGAAAACGCTAGGCACACAGTTTGCTTCCTTAAAAACAGAGTGATTTAAATTCCTGGGCACCAGCGTGCTCCCTTAGGTTCCTACTTTTAGGCACCTGTTTTTGTTATTCTTGTGAAAAAGTAAGTTTTTTTAATGTATTGCCCACCTCAGTTGTATAAAAATATTACATTTTATACTTGCCTTTTTCCCTAGAAGTGCTGCACCACATTTCTTCATAATCTCACGTTAACCATGTTTACCTTCTGTGCTGATGAGTAAATGAGAACGTGGGAGATGTAGGCACGCATCCCTTCAGTGAAGCTGTTTACATTCCATAGTTTGGGATACTTTTTTTTTTCTTTGCTATTGTACTGTGCAGTTTTTTTTGCCTGTTCTAATTTGCCATGACGTGGTCAGTGCTGTTTCCTTCCGGCTGCTTGCGAGCCTGTGGTAGAGATAAGGATACGTTTACGGTGCATTTTTAACAAGAAGCTGAAGATCTGCTTCATGTTGGAACGCGCGGGGACTCTCTGAATTATATGAAGAATTTGTTTACTGGTTTCATCTGTTTGACACTGTGGGAATCAAGATCTAGAGCGTTTTACTTGTGAAATAATGACTTCACTAAATTTCAACTGTGTGTGAAGAAGAAGAAAGGTGATATACTTGAGATACCCTACAGCTGAGTAGGTCAGTCTGGCTTTTGTATTTTTACTTCAAATATATCTTAAAGATGAGAGTTATTAATGACTGTGAAAAATGTGTATATGAATCAAATTAAAAGATTAATATTCTTTTTGGTAACTTCCGTAACTTTCTCTTAGTCTCATGCTTTTAATGTGAAACACTGAAACTGATGTCTTACTTCCTGAAAGAGTTTTATTTTAAGGAAATGAAAATTCACATATATTAACCAGTAATAGCTCTGCACATACAAAGGTGTCTGTTTTCCTTGGAGACAGAACAGTTAAAGTTTGGAGCAAGCTGTATTGTGGGTGCTATTATTTGACATAGCTAAAGCAATCATTTCTGAATTATAGCCTTTTTCTTTTAGCTGAGTAGGTCAGTCTGGCTTTTGTATTTTTACTTCAAATATACCTTAAAGATGAGAGTTATTAATGACTGTGAAAAATGTGTATATGAATCAAATTAAAAGATTAATATTCTTTTTGGTAACTTCCGTAACTTTCTCTTAGTCTCATGCTTTTAATGTGAAACACTGAAACTGATGTCTTACTTCCTGAAAGAGTTTTATTTTAAGGAAATGAAAATTCACATATATTAACCAGTAATAGCTCTGCACATACAAAGGTGTCCGTTTTCCTTGGAGACAGAACAGTTAAAGTTTGGAGCAAGCTGTATTGTGGGTGCTATTATTTGACATAGCTAAAGCAATCATTTCTGAATTATAGCCTTTTTCTTTTTTCCCTCCACAGTGATTAAAGGCTATTGAGGTGAGAAGAAAAACTCAGGCAAGGATTCCTCCTGGTTTGTTTCCCTTTGAGAAGAACCCAGGAACACTGAAGATCCAAGAAATACGAACACCAATACTTGATTGGTTTTGTGATCCTGCCTTTCTGCCCAGTTGGACCTCAGTGACTGTCTCTGTTCTTTAGCATTTGAGAACATCTTTCTTCGTATGTGGAGCTGAGACCTGGGAATGCGTTATTATGGCAGCAGTTGTACAGCAGAATGAACTTGTCTTTGAATTTGCTAGCAACGTCATGGAGGATGAGCAGCAGGTATGGGATGGCTTACAAAGCCACATTCACACCAAGTTGGTCCTAGGAATATTACAAAGACATAAGAGAAGAGTGTGGTGTAAAACACAAAAAAGCAAACATTGAGGTCATTATTGTTGCACCAGATCTTTGTGCTATTTCAAAAGCTTCCTGTTGCTTCCTGTAATTTGCATGGGCAGGGCAGAACAGAAATTGGTTGAAATGTGTTAACTTCTGTAGTATTGCAGAGACATCCTCCTCTGAAAATGTTTTTCCTGTGTTGCTTATTTGTGCCAGGAGAATCCATCCATTTGTGAGACAGAATTTCCCTATTTCTGATATTTGGCAGTAGTTTTAACATTCCTAATGTACTAGGATAAAATTCTGCATAAAAGTAGCACTCACACTACAGATGCCTAGGAAGGAGCAGTAGGTACCTTCTCACTGCTTTTTACAGGTTAGTTTCTAAATTGTGTTACTGTATGCCAGCTATTCAGAAATGAGCTTCAAAGTAATTTAAATCAGTTTATTTCACACTGCAGGGAAAACATGTCTGTTTCTACCTGGGGAGGCTCTCAGTTAGGTGTTAGCTATCTAAACCACATCCTGTGAGCCCTGAGGCTTCAGTAAAGGATTCCTATTGTAAAAATTATTTAGCTCCTCTACAGGTGATGGTTAATAGTGGAGTTTTGTGTTTATTAACAAGGAATTAAGTGCCTTGGTACGGTAGAAAGACAGTTCTTAAAAGGCAGAGAAGTGCTGCAACAAACTGTTCCTCTGTTTGTGAATGTGAAAAGCATTTCTCTTTCTCTCTTTCAAAAGTACTTTTGGCTTTGTAGTCTTGTCTCTGGGTTTTCTGTAAGGCCTAATATGTGGCTGGGTCAGTTGCCCATTTCGGCTGTCAGAGTCATGCAATCATTTCAATGAACTGAATGTTGTCTGTCTAAAGTGCTAACTCAGTTTTGGGTGGAACTTGTAACTTCCTTCCCTGTATTTTTCCAGAGCTTGTGGCAGCCTGGGGATTTAGATATGGGAATTGCACAAACATAGTGGAAAACAAACCTTATTTATTACCTCTGTTTGTTGTTCATTGCTGGTTTTACTTTACAAGGCAACGGGAGAGGGGAGAGTTGAGATGAGGAGGGCTACTTCAGTGTGGTTTCTGGAAGGGGAAATGTAAGCAAACGTGGTTTTGTTCAGTGTAGCTGTGCAGTCTGCCTCTTGCAATTTCTTCAAATGCTTACCTGAAAAACTTTAAAAATATTAAAGAGCACTCGACAGGCCAGTAAAACTTCCCTAAATAGAGCTTTCCCCACTCCTAGAACAAACCAAACCTTGGCATTTACCTTACCCTTTGACCCTCATAACTCCCTCATATCCTCCTCAGTTAATAAATCCTACGCCATATTAAGAAAGAGGGTGCCCTGTAGCATACTCTATAGGGGATGAAATCAGGGATGTGAAAGGCCAAAGAGAGAGAGTGCACAACAGAAAGTCCATTGCTGCAAGCAGTCAGATGCAAGGTCCTCTTAAATCACTGGGTTACTTTAGTGCAGAAAAAAGATACAGGTAGCCAGCTAGCTGGATGCACAAAGGAATATCTTAAATACTTAGCTGTAGAAAAGGAGCCCTGCATAGGAAAATATCTGGGAAGCTGAAGTAAGATTCAGACAAAGAGCTGTCAGAACATGGAATAACTGTGGGGAGATGTTTGGGGTCCAGAAGGCAACTATGGTCGGTGTTTCAGAGAACTCATAATGGCTATTTAAAAGAAAAAAAAAAGAGGTGTTTTTTTTAAGTCTTAGTTAAACAGTCGTAAATTATGAGTAGTCAAGTTGCATCATAAGTCCACATGCATCTGTTTAAGCAGCCAGTGGCAGACACCAGTGGGAGGAACTCAATCACGTGGCCCTATGTGAACAGGAAAGTCTCTGTCTTATCAGCTCTATCCTTTTCAGTTTCAAAAATAATGATTTTTTTTTTTCTTTGAGGGCTCATTTATCAGATTGTGCATGTATGGTGAGGAAGAAATAGGACGAAAACATCACTGTAATTTTGAGAAGAGAACAAGTGGCTTGCACGAGTACTGCTAATAACCTGACTGGCTGCTACTACATATCAGAGGTCCTGGTTAAATAGAGAGCTTGCATCCCCTCTCCCCACTCCCCCTCTTTTCTCCTTTTTATACAAGAGAGACTACACACATAAAATGGGGCAGGAGTTCCCCTACAGCCTTTGGCTGAGTTAGTGCTGCTTTCTAAAACTGTTTTTTTTCTTGACTGTAGCTTCACCTCTCAATGTCTTTTCATTTAGCCCTTTGTTAACTTAATGTGATATTTGATCATTCTTGATGTAAAAAGCTGAATAAAAGCAGCCACAGAGGACAGATCCATTCTAAGAAGTTTGAAATGGTACCAGGGACACACTGATTCATGATAACCATTAAATTGCTAGCAGGGTTCCCAGCATGACTATTCTGTGCCAACAGGTGCTCTCTCAAGTAGCTCTGATGTCTATAGCCAGCTGTGTCTGAAGATACCTTCTGTATCTCTGAGGGAAGTTTCTCTCTTCTCTTCTTCTGAGGAAGGGGGGACCAAGCCCTTATTTTGGGCCATGACTTCGGTACTATCTTCTCATAGCTTGGTTTCCTCTTCCACATTCTCTTGTGTTGCCATGGACTTTCTGAAACATAAACTCACCTGGTCAAGTCCAAGATCTTTTTTTTTTTTTCTATTTTCAACTCCTCCAGTAAGTCCTTCCCTTATCCACTTGCAGTTTTCTGAAGACTTTCAGGAAATTTTTGTGAGATCCATAATCATAGAATCACAGAATGGTTAAGGTTGGAAGGGACCTTAAAGATTATCAGGTTCCAACCCCCCTGCTATGAGCAGGGACATCTCATGCTAGACGAGGCTGCACAAGCCTCATCCAACCTGGACTTGAACACTTCCAGGAAGCCAGGCATCAACAACCTCACTAGGCAACCTATTCCAGTACCTTACTACCCTCATGGTAAAGAATTTCTTCCTGATGTCTAACCTCAATCTCCCCTCTCTCAGTTTAAAACCATTACCCCTTTCCCCATCACTTCTCTCTGGTGAAAAGCCCCTCCCCAGCTTTCCTGTAGCCCCTTCAGGTACTGGAATGCCACTTTAAGGTCTCCAGGGAGCCTTCTCTTCTCCAGGCTGAACAGCCCCAACTCTCTCAGCCTGTCTTCATAGCAGAGGTGCTCCAGCCCTTTGATCATCTTGGTGGCCCTTCTCTGGACCCTCTCCAACAGCTCCATGTACTCCTGTGCTGAGAGCTCAAGAGCTGTACAATGAGGTTGTCTCCTCAGGAGAGCAAGTGGCCTTTTTCTGGTTCCAGCATCCCTCTGTGAAACTTGGTAACTTCTCAGCTGTTGGCCATGGGAACGCCTTTAAAGTCAGGAGGCTGCCTCTGCTGTTAGCACAGGAACTTCAGCAAAAAAAAATGGAAGACTATTTTCTAGTCACCAAGGTCACTTTGCCTAGTTTTGTTTAGGTTTAAGGATTTTTTAAGCCTGTATTGCAAGTCAGAATTCTGTTGCTCTGTTAAAATGTGGTTTTTTTCCTCCTTGTAGCTTTTCCCTACTCCTGTCTATTGTGTGCTTTTCTTCCCACTCATCACTCGCTTGCACAAAGTTTATTCCACATCAGGTTAGAAGCTAGTCACTGTATTCCTGAGACAGGTTTTCCCCCTTAGAGGACTCGTAGTGTGAGAAAGCAGTACCTCCAAAGAAGAAATCCCTTTTTTTATTTTCCATTTCCACAACCAGGATGGTGTTTTGATCTTTGGTCAGTTGGTGGCAGCTGATGATAAAACTCTCAGAGAAATAAAGAAATACCTTGTCAACATGTCAAACTCCCAAGAAGATTTTAAGAGCAGGAAGGAAGATGGCTGCCTTTGGCCCCTGAATGAAGGCAGGGTTCCCTTTATAGGGCGTCATGGAGCATGACAGATGATTTCAGGGAACTGCTCATGGGACCCTCTATGCACTTCAGCATCTGCCTGAAGCTTTGCATTCCTCCAGACTGTAAAAGGTCAGTCTACAGGATTGGTTTGTAGATAAACTACACTGTGAAGAATTCGATGTCTAACACTTGGTAAGATTTCACAGTGGGTCAACACCTCTAATTGTCCACCAGACATTGGAGATGCACTGAAGCCAAGCCAAAGCTTTGGCAAAGCTAGGATGTTGTATTTTAAGTATATTTTGCATAAGAAAGATTAAACATCAGAAGTAGAAAAAATACATACGTTATTTTTCTATGGACTTACATATTAATTTCTCAAAAATAATTGCTGACACTTTAAACTGGGCCAGAGGCACTGAGGTGAGATGTTACCTCTCAGCAGTCATATATATACATCAGCATACATTAGTAGTAGCTTCTAAAACAATTACATGCTTGTTAATGAAACCTTAAGTAATTGCAAATATTGTACAAAAAGCCTTGAAGGTTTCTACAAAAATGTATTTCAAATTGTATTTGCTTGAATTTGCATGAATGCTTTTCTTTCTGGAAGCATATTATATATTTGTTCCAGCCTTTCCTTTTCACCATGGTGGCAGGAAAGAAAATTCATACTTTTTACTTCCATAAGGCATGAGTTGGAAGTAGGTGTAACCATGGTTTTAAAACAAAAGACCAGAAGAAGCAGTATTTGCTCTGACTCTCCTAGCTCAAAACTGTTATTAATTTTAAAGAAAACCACACTTAGAGTGTCTTACCATGAATGAAGGCTTTCCTGTTCATCTCCTGTCTTGTGGAAGCGCAGTGTGTCAGCAAGCTCCTCGATGGTCTGGTGCAGAGTGTGAGTGCCCCTGTATTCTCCTGCCATGGGGGTTTCTCTGCCTGTTGACAGTGACCTTGTCAGAATATCTGTGTGTTTGTTTCTAGACATGGGCAAAATACAGTTCAGCCTTGCAGAGCAGATCACATCTGATCATATGGATGAAACCAGCTGCTGCCAAAATGCGTGACAATATCACTGTTCAGCAGCATGGGAAACATTTTGGTCAGCAGTGAAGCCTGTTTCAGTAACAAGTGGATGTTTAACTTTTGTAATTAGGTTTCACAGCAGGGGAACAACTAGGGGTGTAATATAAATAGGGCTTTGAAAAACTGAGCTGAAAACTTGTGACAATCAGCTGGGTTTATCTGTTTCATTTATTACTCTAAAACAGTTTTTTATGACTTGTCCTCAGTAAAGAGTAACAGCAGTGCTGGAGGTGGTTTTGCCTCTTGGATGCCAAGTCAGTGACATGACTATCAGTAAGCAGAGAAAGACAGTAATTTTTTTTTACCCAGAAGGAGCTAATGTGAGGCTTGTCCTCAGCACAGGCAACTTGATATGTTGCTGGAGATGCTGCAGCTATCAAGCTGGTGCAACAGGGGAAGCAGGGAGGAAGGAGTGTCTTGCTTGGAAGACATGGCAGGGAAGCATCTGGCCATTTGCCGATGAGAGTGTAGGAGACAGACACCTATGTCAGAAATAGATGCCCCACTGCCTCCACCCTTTTATAGTCAACATAGAGTAATAGATGTTTCTAGGGTATGATTCAGCCTATCATAGCACTGGAGCCTAACACTGGGCAGGGAAATTGTGCCCTGGAAATACCTGTTTCTCTCTGGTTCTGAAGGAAACCTGGGGTTACTAGCACAAGTCCAAGCATTTGCACCACAGCTGTCTGAAGTTAGGCGAGATGTACCTCATGCCTCGTGTGTATGAGCTAGAGCAGGATGAGAAGACTGAAATCATCTTACTTGAATCTTCCCTACAAAAATCTATATTTTTTACTGTTCAGGAAAATAGTGAGCAGGTACTTGCAAAGCTTGCAAGTGACAGGAGCCCGAGTGGAATGTCATCCTTTCTTCATTTCATTCTTCATAGTTACACATATAGGCATACAATAAATGTAACTTCATCCCCAGTTACACACAGTGACATATTACTCAAATTGGGATGCCTTAACTATTTCTGTAGCATAGAATTTTATCTTGGTAATGAGGCTGCAATGTACCATCTTCCTTCTGATTTCTGAAACATGTAATTGAAAAGAAATGCTTTTTAAATGTACATGCTATTTTATTTTTCTTTTCTTTTTACAGTGCTTTATCCTCTATACTTACTTGGCTTTTATTTAATCAAATCTGTTTGCTTACTCTTGCCTGGAAGAAAATAAGATCTGGCCTGTTAGGGACCATAAACAAACAGGATTCACAATGTGAACAGGATGCTTTCTGAGAAACAGCAGAGGCCTCTTGGCCACCAGTGGTTCTGGGTTTCTCAGCCCAAGCGGGAGACAGCCTTGGAGAGAGGTGGCTACAAAGGTATGGGGGTAGAAGCTGTCCTGTTGCTTGACTTGATGTACACCCATCACCTGGCAACGTGTTTGCATGAGAGGACATTAACTGGTCTGCCCTTTGATCTTTTTTATTGATTTTATACCATGTTACTCGATTTTGAAGCTTATGTTTGGAAGAGTAGGTAGATTATTTGTGGGTTCTTTGCTTTTGGTTTTGTTGTTTTTTTGGTTTGGTTTTTTTTGTTTGTTTAGCAGACTATGATAGAAGCCCACAGAAATACTACTTTTGTTTCTTAGTCCTTCCTTTTTTCCCCGATTGCCCTTTACCACAGTTGTTGTTGAGACACGTTTTACAAAACACAGAGCAATTTAAAGTGGTAATTACTGCCTTTTAAAAGTTCTAATTGCACTTTCTACTTTCGGTACTTTCTTTCCAGAATTTCCCAAGGAGAGGCTTAGTCCCATAGCTGTTGTCTGTGTTGAGCCAGTAGCTCTAATACTATTTTCCATTGGTGTTGGTGGTGTGCATAATGGCAAGATTGTGAGACATGAGAAATTCCTAAGCAAATTCATAATCTTATGGTTGTATTGTTGTTTGTGTTTTTCTTAAGTGGTTAAATAAAAAAAACCCTGCTTGATCCACGCATATCTGTGCTCTTCTGTGGAGGATGAGACCAAATGTACATATATACTAATTCTCTCAGAAATATGTTTTAGCAGCTTTTTGATTTGTTTTCTTGGTTTTAAGCTTGCTACATTCATAATGTGACTTATTTTTTTAGTGAGAGAGCCTTACAGTTACACTAGACTTTCTTTGAGCCTGCTCTGGTATCAGCAGCTATGACTTTCTTCCTGCAAAATACGTTTTTAAAGACTTGCTGTGGAAAATACTGTGTCCGTAGTAAATGTTATTTTCTGAAAACCTCTTCCTGTTGAATGGTTTCCTTTTCAGAATGAGCATATTATTATTACTGGTCACTTTGATTTGTTTTCCCAGCTGCCCCTTTCCTTCTATATCTGGTGCAAAATAACTGTTAAGACAGAGGATAATGTGTGAAAGCAGACTTAGGATGGAAAGCAGGGGGGAAGTAATGACAAGTGACTAAAGAATTAGAGAGGAGAAGTATTATGGTACATATATCACGCACTCCCCATTAAACCCTTTGCTTTTGTAGGAAGTGTTCCCTAAAATACCAGTCTTCAACTAATGTGGGAAACTGGGGGCCTGTGAAAGTTTTTTGTTGTCCTGACAGCCACAGCACTCCTCCACCCCCAGCTTGACAGGAAGAGCTAAAGATTAAGGTGCTTCCAGCAAGTCATTTGCCTGGTATTACTGCCAGCAGTTTAGCACTTACTGTGCTCTACCACTCTGTATTGTCAGCTTTTATGCTGCAAAATAGTATCACAGGAGTCTCGTATTACCTAGTGGAGTAAAGTCAAGTATTAGATACTGCAGTGAAATTCAGCCTCTGGCCCACAGTGAGACACTTGGTTTTATATGCTAAAAATAATCTCATTCTTATACTCCCTTTTGACAATCTAATGTTCAAGTGATGTAAGTGTAATTAATCAGTAAGTGGTTAGATTGGATGCAGTCTAGCTACCTTTATTTTAATTTTCTTTTTTCCACCCCTAGCTTGGTGATCCATCTATTTTCCCTGCTGTCATTGTGGAGCATGTTCCTAGTGCAGACCTCCTTCACAACTACTCCGGCTTAACCTGCGTGGATGAACCTAGTGACATGATCACTGAGAGCTCCCTGGATGTTGCAGAAGAACAAATCATAGAAGATGATGATATAACCCTCACAGGTTGGCAATAAAAGCATTTCTGTGCCATGTTTTTGCACCAAGATGACTGTGGCTAATGGTGGAAAAAGCTTAATGACAAAAAACAACAGGAAAAAAAATTGCAGTAGTATTGAATGCTGTTAATTCTGTTCAAGACCAAGAAAATGAGATTAATACCATTAGCAGGTGGCTTGCAATCCCAGCTGCACAGCTGATAATGCTGAAAAGTTTAAGTTATCAACAGAAATTAAGACAGTCCTGCTCAGAGTCCCAGCAGGATTTTCTTTGCCCTTCATCGGATTTGTTTGCTCTTATTTAATTGTTGGTATGTACCTAAGTAAACATACATACCAAAAAGCAAGAATGTGCAGCTTGAGTAGATGTACTGCTTTTAGCTTCCTGCGGGTGTACAATTAGCCATAAAATGTGCATGTTAGTGTGACTTACTGGTCTAAGTTTTCTCAGCATAGTATTAATTTTGAATCTCTGATAATTATTAACACCTAAAATACAGATGTTCTGTGTAAAATCTGTTAGGAAAGGTATCCCTGAAGAGAAAACAATTCTCAAGAGGAAAGCTTGAAGGTATATTTTTTTAAAAAAACAACCCCTCACTGAATGCATGGATTTGAAGCATTTTTGCAGAACAAGTCTGAAAGGTGGGGTAGGTTCTTCACAGAGTGAGGATCTGTTTCTGTGTCTTCTTTCAGCCATTAGGCTCCTCACCTGGACAGTTTCCAGGGCTGGAGTCATCTTGCTGGTTTCAGTCATGCTTTTGATCTTATTTCTAAAGGCATACTGGGGTACAATCTTTTACCACCAAAAGCAAACCAAAAACTTAACAGAACATGACATGAGGAACAGTTCACAGAGTTGACATGAGCAGTTCTCAGTAAACGGATTTATCTGATAAATATGGCTCCTCTTTTTTTTCATTAGTAGTGAATTATCTGTGAACAGACTGTGACCGTACAAGTAAATTAGCTGATTATTCAAGAAGGTTTTACATACTTAAACATTATTTCAAGTTGAGATCTCCTGCCAACTATTCACTTGCTATTCGTATTAATTATTCACACTGCAACTGACAGTTTCTCAGTGTTACTTAAGCACCACTTAATGTAGCTGTGTGAATTTTTCGTAGCAGATTGTTGTTGTGAATCTATATTCACTATAATATATTGTGTGTGAATTTTTACTTGCGTGAGTAATTGTGAAACTCTACTTGTGTGAATTCTCTTGTTAAATTTTTTTGTTGTGTTGCTGGTCACATGAGAAGGGTTGCAAATTGCTGCCAGAGGCTGAAAATATGTAATCCTTGTAACCGATGGTGTCCAAGGGTTTCTGGGATACTTTGGAGGCAGACAAGCACGTTATTGTTCTCATCATCCATTGTAGTTCCAGAAATCTGATTTTCTTTAAAGGCGAAGTCCTTAGAAAACCAGAGCTGCCACTTTGCAGAGATTATTGTTAAGGAGATGTTAACTAATTATCTGTTTCACACCCTTCATCCTGCTAGCTACTGTGCATGCTGTGGGTCTCTGAGGAAAGGAAAGCAGATGAGCGCAGGCCAGGCAGGGACCAGCAACATTGCTGAAAGCTGCTTAACAGGATGCAAGGTGTGCAGCACTGGCAGCTCAGCCCCTGGTTTCTGACAGGAAGCCGGCCTGCCTGGCTCAAGTGGGGCAGAACTCGGGGCTCCAGAGGTGTGAAAGCACCCCACAGAATGTGTGGACACTAGGGAAGGATTGTCCCCCACCCCCTCACCTCCCTGCCCCCTGCAGGCAAGCATCAGCTGTGGCCGCAGCTGCTCGCTTCACTTGCAAGGCTGCCTTGGAAGAGATCTGGTTCAAGCCCAGCTTGCTGTAGGCTGCCTCTGAAACAGGACTAATCCTAACAGAAATTTCCCATCTACTTTATTTTTCATCATCTTCTCTTTTCATGGGGTGTATTAGTATCAACAGTGAAATGCATTGTTTTGTTCTTTGAAGATTGTACCAGCCTTTCCAGTCACTTCCACATTATACCTTTGTGAAAGGATCAGACTTTGTAAAGACTGTACTAATTCCACGTTAAAATATTCATAAGACTGAAGTTCACAGCAAAACGAAACTGAAAACTGCCATCGTTTTGTGACTAAACATTACAGAGAAATGGCTGCTTAATGTGCAGGATTTGATGGGTTTTTTTTAAGTTACCAGCTTTTCAGTACTGTTTTATGACTCTCATATATATTAAGCTTTCCTTTTCTCCTGAACTAACAGAAATTAGCAGTAGGTCTCCTGAAACTAAAGCAATTAATTTTTAGGAATCTATCTGCAGAATGATGGATAGGTTTTTCCAGCTCTAGGATGTAGCTTCAGCCCTTCAAAACCACAGCTATTGCACATGGGTGATTACTTACCTGTAGCGTAAATTATAACCTGCAGAAAACTATAAGAAAACATCTGTTTCATGTGAAACCTTGCTGAAAGGTGGTTAACTACCAGCATTTTAGTTACATTAATCCTCATGCTTTATTTATTATTTTTTTTATAATGAATAGGCAGACTTTTCTTATCACTGTCCTCTTTAAAAGCACTTCCCTGGAAAAACTGCAATGGCAATTTATATATTCACTTTTCTGCCAGTGTTAGGGACTTTAAATGATTAACTGTCTCATAGTAAAGGGTGATTAAGAAAATAAATTGGTGCATTTGGCTTTTTAATGGAATTTTTTGTCTAAAGAGAATACTGAATTGATTAATTTTTTTATCTGAAAAATACAGGGGGTAATGTTTTGTGCAAAATAAGTTCTAGGTGAACTTGTCAGATGGTGCAGTTTGCTACACTTTCTTTACCTTCTTAATGTAACTGACTACAGCTGTAAAATGCATAGAAGGGAGGAACTGAGTGAATTATGTAACTTCCTGAAAACCTTTTTTAAGTTTGTTTCTTTGTTTTCTTTAACTTTGCCATGTCTGGCCAGTTTAATTTCGAAAAACAACAATTAATCAAACTCTGTCATTTTGTGAAGGAGGAGGGCAGAAAATTTGTGCTTACATACCCCATACCCTAGGCTGAATGAGGAGTGTGGAAGTGTGCATTGTATAGATCAGTGATGGTTCTTAATAACCAGGTCAGAAGTTGTTTTACAGCATTTCAAAGTTTAGTAGCATTTGGCTTGTACATTTGGTAAAGCTACAGCATTTTTGACACAGGCCAAGCTGGTCAGGTAGGAGAATGAAGGCAGAGAGGTGGTAGTTACATCCAGCATCTTCGATGGTAATTTCTGATGCTACAAAGAAATCCAGAGGAGTAGTTAGGTGGAAACAGAACCTCATAGTGTTAATCTGTGAGGATTTTTAGTTCATGAGATGCCAGTTGTAAAAAAATGGATATGGTTTGTTACTTCATGGAGAAATTAGTCACTGCTGCATGCAGCATCTGGTTAAAAACAATGAGCATTTTCCTAATAGCTCCCCAGTCAGATAATTTTCCTTACAAATTTTAAAGCCTTATTTAAAAAAGAAAATGAAGAGTGCTGTGTAGGTCTTCTGAAATATTTGTATTCCTAAAATCTTTTCCAGTGTCAGTTAAGAGGCAGCTCCAAGTTGCTATTGAAAAACAATTGCTGAAATTTAAGAGCTAGCTGTTCTGCTAAAGGGGATTCTGTCTGTGTTTAATGAATCTCTTTCTATTTTAGCAAAATTAGATTCCTTCTGGTGATACTTTGAAGCTTTGCAGTCCTTGTTTTTGTCTGTAGTAAAAGCAGCAGTGAGTTTAAACACAGCAGTGACCAGCACAGTCCTTATTAGCTTGGCCTGGAGAAAGACTTGTGTTGTCCACCCTTCTGAGCTACCAGCCACCAGGGAATTGACAGGAGTGAGATTGGACTGCTGAAAGCACCATAAAGCTCTCAGAAAACATGCTAGGCAGGAGTAGAGAAAGCACAATTTTGGATAGAGGCAGGGAGCTTCCAGCATGAGGCAGTTTCTGTCTCCACTGAGTAAGAGAAGCAGAAAACTCTGGGCAAGCCTTGTGTGAAGGGTGAGTGCTGATTCATAGTGAACCTCGTAACTGGTCTCTAATTGGTGTGCAGATACAGAGGCTTACATTTGTGGGTTGCTCAGATAAACAAGAACTTGTAGAGTACCCTGGGGAAAAAAAACGAAGTTACTTTTGGGTGTGGTTTTCCCTTTCCCCCTCCTTTTTCTTTTTCAACCCCCCCTTCTTTTTTTCCTGTCCCTTTCTCCCCCTCCTTTTCCCCTCTTTTCCCCTTTCCACCTTTTCACTTTCCTCTCTTTTGATTTTACATGTCTCCTTCCTTCTTTTTTCCTTTTTTTTTTTTTTTTTTTTTTAAAAAAGTTTCTGCCTCATTAAGGTAACATTTGTAATCTGGTGTTTCTCAGAAATTGCCTCCCCCACCACCATTCTTTCAGCTGACTTTGTCAAAGTGTAACAAATAAGCTATTTCATCCCCATTCTTTTTGAATTTGTGACTGTATCATAACTGCCAGTGACTGGAATAATATTGGAAAAATAACAGACATCAACTTGCCTTTGATAGGTGAGTTGGTTATCTCTGAGTGCTGTCTGAAGTTGGATGGTGCAAATTAACATCTTGTTGTTAGTAGGACACAGAAGAGAGGTGCTCCATCTCCTCTGTGCAGTGCCCTAAACCTTGTTTGTGTTAGCTCTTGAGTTCTTGTAATTCAACTTGCTAACCTAACAAAACTCAAAAAACATCCTTTGAATCATTTTATAAAACTAAATTGTCTCACTGCATGCTCAAAAAAGTGTGAAGCCTGGTTCGCGTTAAGTGACAAGAGTTTGGATCATGAGAGGCAGAGATGGGAGAAAGAACTACAGCTCTTGTTTTTTCAGCAAGAGGGAAACATTCATTTGGCTCAAACCACATTGTGAAGTCATCATCTAAGAAGAGGCTTAAAGGGTGTTAGCAAGGGCATGAATGTAGTTTAGAAACTTATTTTTGCCATTCTGTGTCTGTGTATAGACAGCTGGCACTCCTTACATTTTTTTGTGAGCATCAAATTATACTGATTTCTATGTTTATGTCATTTATATGACTAATATAAATTCTTTCACTAGTCCTCCATAGGGATGGTTGATTTTTAGCCACCCAGTGTAACAGCAACGTAAAGCTGGCAAACCTCTGCCTGCTGTTATTTAGAGTGAAGAATTGACTCTGCTCTGTCACCTCAGCACCTGAAAGCAAGTGGGAGGGTTTGCTCCTCACAGCTCCCACTAAGGGCTGCTCCCTCCTCCCTTCCTGCAGCACTGAGTCCCAGGGGTACCACTACTGGCTTTTAAATTGTATGTGGCAGTGTAAACTATCCCCACTTGGTGGCTTCAGCGACGCTGGATCCTGGAGTGTTACCTTCCCGTCCAGTCACACAATGTCAGAACAGATGACAGCTGCTTTGGCAGTGCTGTGGGCCTATATCTGGGGAGACATCCTTACTGTGGCCTTTGTTATGCTGGTGGATAGTTTGGAAAGGTCCCATCCAGATAAAGCTTAGAACCAGAAGTGATCAAGTCAGCAGTGCTGGGCCATATATGAGTGTACCTTCACGCTGCATGGGCTGCTTTTGATTTGGTCTCCTCCTCAACTGGCCAGGCATTCCCTATGGATGCTGTTTGGCTCTTGGGACTGTGACACTCTGGGGCTGAGCTCCCTGAGCCTGCAAGCGGCGCAACAAAACTGTCAGCTGTTTGTTGCTCCATCTCACTCTGTGGCTTCCCAAGCTGGTACCTTAGTCCATACTTAGCACGTCCACATGTCTCTTCACTCAGTCCTCCTTCCCAGCTCTGCATTTCTCATTTCTTCAGTCTCTCTGAAGATGTCAACCAGGAAGCGCAGATCCTTAGTTGTCTCAATGCCTATGCAGGACAGGGGGCTCCTGTAGACAGCAGGGTGAGTTGTTGTGTGGGTCAAGGGTTCCCAACACACCTCTCCTTTATTCTGACTTAGCCTGAGCCTCTGACACGTGGGGTGTGGTAGGACTAAGGTCATGAAAAAATCCAGAAGGTAAGGAGGCTTCTGAGGTCCATGTGCTGCATATAAGTCACAGCTAGGTGGAGGAGGTAGAGCTCATGCATGAATGTCTTCATTCATCTTTGCCCTCTCTTAATGATAGGATTGCTGAAGCTGTACATATTTGGGGTGAAAGTGGATTTCTTTTTGTTGCATTGTTTTATGCATTGTGTGATTGTTTGGTTAGTGAGCTTGGTGCTTTATTATTAGTGTGATTATGTAAAAAATCCCAAAACCATAAAAATTCCAGCATAAACGTCTTGCTTTTATGCAAAGAAGAAATGTTCCAAAGTCCAGTGTTCCCTTGTGTTTTATGGTGCATTTTTGCTTACTCAGTCAGAGACTGCTCCACCCCAAATTCCCCAAAGTTAAACAAGGAGAGAGGGTGTGAAGCCGACTCATTACTGGACAGAGAAAGTAACTGAAGTTCAATGGTGTCATAGAGGGGGAATATTAATGCAGGCCTTTCTACCTCTCTGGTAGATGCAATGTAGCTTCAAATTAATGTTAAAGGATAAGGAAGCCTGGCCCATGCATTTCCATCCAACAAAGAGAAATTTCTAAAAGAAGATGTTTAACAGTTCTAAAGATTTATGGTACCAGGTACTGGAATTAATATCTAACTTATTTGTCACGCTATAATTATTTTGAAAAAAATCCTCTGGTAAGGTAATCTTCTAGTCAAACCCATATTATCTTCTTAGCTGTTATTTTGCAAATGATATTGGATATTTTTTTTCTTCAGATTAATTGTAAATTAATGCTCAAGAGCTTTGGATGTGTCTTTTGGCCACCTTCATGAGATTGATGAGGGATTGTCCAGTAGTCAAATTTTTTTAAAAGTTTACTGGCCCTACATATTGCTTTTTGTATTTCACTTTTGCTTTCCAATGTGTTCCTGGAGCCTGGGCTGTTAGCTGTATGTCTAATCCCCCTGAATGTGAATGGTTTAGGATTCAGTTACACCTTTAGATCATATGCTCTCTAATAGAAGCTGTGGAGTATTTTCTTGTCTGTCCTCCAGGCTAAATAACAGGGTATTTTTGGTGTGCATCTCTTAATTACGGGATTCACTTCCTTTGGACCACCATATGAAGAAATTAGCAGTATTGTTTTTTTAAAGGATACTGTCTGTAATATTGCTTGTGATAGTGATATTTCCTAGGGCTAATGGGTGTTGTGTTTTATTGTATGTATGCTGTATGATCAGCAAAGAAAGAAGGGTTAGAAACATGAGGCAGTAACGAAGGATTTGTGTAGGGTTTGGGTTTTGTTTTTCAAATACAAAAAATGTAGTGTATTAAAGAAATTAAACGTGAATAAATGAAATTAAAAGTGTGCATTTTCTCCCCAGCTAACCTGTCACTACTCATGTAGTACAAGACTGTATTTACCACTTTTTTTTATTTCTAGGAATAAAATAGTTACAAATTTCATGTTAAGCTTTGTCTAGTTTGTACCTTGTTAAGAATTAATTTTCCTCTCTTGCTTTCAGTTGAAGCATCTTGTCATAATGGAGATGAAACGATGGAAACAATTGAAGCTGCTGAAGCACTTCTCAATATGGACTCCCCTGGTCCTATGTTGGATGAAAAAAGAATAAGTAAGTTTTTTGTGAAAACAAATCCAGTCTGTATTTGCCTTGTTCGTTTGGGAAAGAAGGAGGGATTCAATGCAGTGTGGTTGCATGGAACTGGTAAGATTATTTTGCTTCCAGGTAGACTTTATATACTTAGTTTGAATATGAGAAATCCAATTTTGTGTGCAGTGAAAGATTTCGTTGCCATGCCAGAGTTGAACAGGTAACAAAAAAATTAAAAATTGCAGAGGGAAGGTGTGAATGAAGTCAAGTGGTTTAGATTGCAGTGTGTTGTTCAGCTGATGGGGAATTAGTCTGTTAATGTTGCCAAGATTAAAGAAGATACACTTTTATCTACAGATTGCCTGAAATATGAATAAAAATGGGTGATCACCAAATAATTATGCTTTGGGGGCGAGTGGATTATATCATTAAATTGTTCTATCTTTGTAGTGCTTCTGCTAGTGCAAATTTTTTTGAGCAGATATATTCCACAATGAACTAGTTTTCTCTCCCATAAAGGCTTAAAGTGTCATAGTTTTTTTTATTCTATGGTTAAATTTTTTCCTGTAAAATAAAAATAATAAAAAATTCTTTTTAAAGTCCTTGTGGCTATGTGAAAATATTCCTGTTGTCCCTTTCTCTTAAGCAACTATGTTTGGCTCAACTGAAGATGATGATATGGTGGCTCCTGTTACACATGTGTCAGTCACACTTGATGGGATCCCTGAGGTGGTGGAAGTTCACCAAGCTCCAGACCCTTATGCTGAATCACCAGAGACTCCAGAATTTGAACAACCAAAGAAGAAAAAAGGTAAGATGCTACTGGAGAACAGTGGTGTGGAGTAGGAAAGCATTGGTTGTTGTGTGTTGTCTTGCCCTGTGGTTGTCTGGAACCATTCTGGGTGTCAAGTCAAAATAACTGAGTGGGTTCAGCTAAAAATGCAGAGAAAGCATTTTCTCACTGAGTGGCCTGAGCACAGATACTGGTGCTTAGACACTGATGATGTTGGAGAGGTAGCAGTGATGACTTATGCCACAGGAAACATGAATTGCTGCTTGTTCCTATTTATAGCTGCTTCTTCAGAGCAGAATCGCAATACAAGCTGTAGAGCTTTTGTTATTGTGAATCCTGAAATACTTTAATTAGCTCTTACTTAGCTTCAACTAAAGATATGTTCTGATACTGATCTGTTCAGAATATGGCATGAGAATAAGGAGAAGTTTTTAACTTCTCTTGAATGCAAATGGTTTAACTTTATTTTTTTTAAACAGCTGCATGCTGTGTTAAGTGCTAGTTCTGTTTGTGGGAGATAATATTTACAGTGTCTACTGAATTATGTTCCATTGAGGCCAATGCTGTGCCAAAGAGTTATGAAGTGGTGTTAGTCAGACCTTCTGCTCCTGTTGTCCCACTCTGCTGTCAGCATGGACCCAATCAGAGGTCCTGAAGCTGATGTCTACAGTGAAAAAAAAAGTCATGCAGTGCAGGCAAATATAAGGTGTTTTTTTAAAAAACAATAAAGAAACTAAGAGAGTTCTGTTTCTGAAACTAATCTAAGGGTTGAATCAGAGCACTAGGACTTCAACAGGTTCCTCTGTGAAATAGAAGCCTTCCAGAACAGGGCTCCTGCTACTCCTGTTCAGCCACACTCCTGCATGACAGTGCATTTTCACTGCTATTTTTGTTGCTCCTTCCAAGTGTTGAAAGTTGTGAGATGGAGCATATTGGCCTGTGGAGATGTTGGGGAAGCCTGCTGAGCCCCGTGTGTGTCACGAGGTCTGGTAGGGATGGGTGTGGGTCAGGAAGTCTCCAATTCCAGTAAGAAAGCTGAAGTGAAACCACTGTGGAGGAGACCTTTACCAGCAGCTGCCCCCAGAGTGCTGCTGGGGAAACTACCGCACTGTGTGCCCTACTGCGAGATAACCAACTGTGAGAGGATTTTAAACTGGTTTTTTGGGTTTGTTCTTTTCTTCTTCTTTTTAATGTTGGCTGCTATGTGGGTCAAAACAAGGAGCCACTCTCTGCCAGACATTTAACCTCCTTGGCCTGATGCTTTCACACCGTCTTCTGTGTTGTGCTTCTGCATACTCCCACTCCTTCCTCCTCCCTAGCTGTAGGTTAGAAAACCAGTTGCTTCAGAAAAAATGTGTGTTTTTGACAGTTACATCAGATAAAATATGTACTAGAAAAGATTCATCAGCTTTGTCTTTCAGTAACTACTAGTTTTCAATGAAGTTGAGACTTCATGAGATAGATGGTATGGTCTGAGTGATGCTGAAGTGTTACTTCAAAATGTCACAGGGATTTATGAGGCATTGGTGTGCAATAATTACTGCAAAACATTATTAATTTTGTAGTGCACTTGAGGATGACGTGCAGTGGGCGGGTGGGGTTGTTTTGGGTTTTTTATTGTTTTGTTTGGGTTTCTTTTTGAAGTTCAATCTGTTTCCCCTTGTTTCATCAGTTTTGTGGCATGACAAAGTACCATGTTCATTCTGCACAATCTATACCACTAATGATTTTAAAGACTTCTAGCATAGGTCAGCTAAACTTACAGGGTTGCATTGTGCAGAGCTTTGCCAGCTAAATGAGCCAGAATGGCACTGTCAAGCAGAGCTCCTCCAAGAAAATGTTCCCCAGAAGTATTGGGGTGATTTCACTTCCTTTGTTTGTGGGCCTTATTACTGCAGCAGGGGAGCTGTATCTACCTGTCTGTTTGACCCCAGACCCAGGTTCAGCGTAATGTTTGTACTCGTGAATGTCTGAGGTCTGAGCTGCAGAACTACAGATGAGAGAAAGACAGGAAAAACAAAGGGGTATCAAAGACAGAAATTTGGAAATTTGCTGTACTAATACCTTCAGTCCCATGTTTGGTAAGGGAGGCATCCAGCAGTAGGTGATCATCTAAGTTATATGCACATTATATTTTAGATATGTACTGTTTATTATATTTTTACACACATTATGTATTTTTAAAACAAAACCCACTGAAAACAGTGCAAGAAAATGTATTTAACTTCTTCTGATGTAAGTAAAAATACTTAATCAGGATGAGCATCTTGCTTTCTAAATATCACATTAATTTATAGCATGAATTTCTAACCTGCGTTGTTTTTTGCAGCCATGGAAATAGGAAAGTGGAAACCCGGTTATAAATTCAATTAGCTATACAAAATTACGGTAGCACCACATAAGGCTTAGCTCTTGCACATTAGCTCTTGCCTTTTTGTAAAATTCTCTCCTAAAAATAAATTTAGTGATGTATTCTGAAAGGTAACAAATTCATGCCCTACTGAACCAAAGGAGGAAGCATGCTGATACTTAAAGTGCTTTCAGAAAACATCTTTTAAACACAGGAAGCATATCTTGTGTGTCTTTGTTAACTGTGTTTTTGATGGTATCAGTCAGGGCCTGGAGATGATAGCTCACAGTATAGTCTAAAACCATCATCTTAAGTATCTGTAGCCCAAATAATTGAGCAGCAACATCAACACCTTTTCCACATCCTTTACTGATTTCTAATTTCGGATGGTTTTGTGGTAGCGGATTGTCCATATATGATGTCTTAAAGTAGTCTAGGCTGAGGTAAGAGAGCCTAGAATTGCTGTAGCAACAGTATTCATACTTGGTAGCCTAGGTCATCCATCCTCAGAAATGCATAAATTCTGTGTGATCAATACTAAAGTTTCCTGAAGTTGACTGCAGTAGTTCACTCTTGACCTAGTTGAGCCTCAACAACTACATTTTCTTTCAAGACCTGATTTCATTTGGACACAATGTAATTAATTACATGAAAATAACACTCCCCACTCCTTAATGGTATACATTTACACCTGCATGAACAGAGGGGAAGTTAGATGAGCACCCAACAGAGTCTTCCCATGACACAACTCCAAGAGTAGAAAAACACTCAGCCAAACTTACCCTGACAGGCTTCTTGTGCAGTAGGACCTGATCTATACAAGAGTTACTATATCTAGACATTTTAGGGGAAGAAAGAAACAAACGTATCTGCAACCAATAATGGTGTGTGGAACAAAGCTGCTACAAACACACTCTGATAGTTCTTTACTAGAAGTACACTAAGAGCATAGGGGATCAAATCCTGCTGTAGACACTAAAAAATTTTAGCATCGAACTGAGCTGCTAACTTCCTAGAAATTGAATCCTCTCTGAATTGGGGAAACAAATCTCTTCCTGTTTTAGCTCCTTGTTCTTTTTTATTTCCTTTTTTTAAAAAAAAAAATAAATTTGACTTCCTGGTGGCTTATTTCAGGGAAGAAGCCAAGACCATCTCGTCCTGAGTCCCCTACTACAACGCCAAACATATCTGTGAAAAAGAAAAGCAAAGATGGAAAGGGTAAGTCACAAAGAGTTGTCACTAAAGTTTTTTTAAAAAGCATTGTTTCAGAGTGACCTGTTAAAGGAAAACATTTGTGATGTAAAAAGAAAATGTTCACTAATTTTCTTGTGATGTGAATGCAGGTCTTATGCTCAAGGGTGGTTAGTATCATATCTTAAGGCAAGTGAAAAATAAGTACATGTGAGATTGTTTTTGTGAAATACTCTGTTCCTAGGGAACACAATGTATTTGGCACTTTAGTAGCAAGGGTTCTTGGAAACTCTTCAAGCTCCCACAGAGGCTGCTGTGTTTTGAGTGAAGTCTTGGGGAGCACTTTGCATTGTATTAGGGTTTCTTGGGCTGTGGTTGTTTTGACAGATGATCCTTGAAAATATTTTCCATCTATGTCTAATTCTGCATGAGGATCTAACAGGAGGGAAGTTATAATGCAGCTTGAAGACTTGGGCAGAAAGTTTCAGTTTTGATACTTCATTCATTCCTCCTGTCTAAAAGGAAGACAGAAAATAAATACTACATAACTGATAAGCTAAATAGTTTCCTCCAGACTGAACTGTTCGGTAGTGTCGATCAGTTTTGTCAGCAGCTCAGTTGATTTACCGTTGGGTCCAGCACACACACCCGAGCCCAGGCTGATGTTTGAATGGCAGCCTCATGCCCCTGCCCCCTCCAGGTTCTGCTGCGCTCAGCAGGAGCTGAACATGAGCCTCCCCTGTGTCACCAGAAGTGCCTGCATGCACACCGAGGGGCTGAAGCACTTGCATGTGTGCAATGCTTGCCAGAAGAGGAGCCCAGCCAAACCTGGAAAGTGGTCACATAAGAATGTCACACACTCTTGAAATCAGAAAAATTACTACACTGAAAAATTGGTATAAATGTTTTTTGTTGTTTTTTCTTTTGAAGAGGATTTTTCTGCAATGACAGAAAATAAAGATCTGTTTGCAGGCAATAAATATTTAACAGGTTAGTTCCAGCAATTTTGAGTGTGTATCATTGCTGTTTTCTAAAAAAAAATTAAAACCTGACTTTTAAATAAAAATGAAAGTGAATTGTCAGAGGAATATCCAAGTAGTGCTGAAATGAAATAACAGAAAACATTAAAGCAGCTAGCCATAAAATTAAATGGCAGAAGAGTCTAATGTTTGTGTCACTAATAACAAGGATACACTGTATTTCACGTTTGTACATTGTTACAAAATTGCTAATTCAGAAGGAATTAAAAAGTAGCATGTTGCCTGAAACCACTGCCTGTTAGGAGAAAAGCTACCACAAAAGCACTGGGAGCATTTTGAGGAACAGAGAATTGAAGTAAAAGGGATATTAATGTAAGCTTCCATTGCAGGGAAGCAGCTAGAAAATCTTGCCTGGCTCTGTCTCCACACTGTTGCCCTAAGGAGCACATATATGGTAGAATACCAAGCCCTCCATAAAAACATCAGGTGTGATGGATGGAGAAAACTGAATTTTCCACATATTTCTTCTTCTTCTGTGACTCACAGGAGGTTAAAAATTCTGCCTGTGAGTAAAGCAGGCATGCAGATGGTCCTCTTCACAGTGATTTTCAGTGGCTAAGCAGTGACAGATTTTTAGACCGTCTTGATGCAGCTGAGCATTTTTAGTCTAGACTACAACAAAAGCACTCTGGATTAGATGGCGAGTAGCTGGGAATGCTCTAACTCCTGGCTGACATTGTGTCCTGCCTAAGCAGTCTTAACCTTTGCCTTTCGGGTATCCCGAGGCAAGCAGGCTGACTGTTTTATGTAAGCTGTGAGCCATTTGTTGCAAAGGCAGTGTTTTTTTTCTAGGGATGCTCACTTTTCAAGTTTCCACCTGCTGAAGGGGGAGGAGTACGCGTTGTACTGCCAGTGCTGATGGCTTTGCTGAAAATTTGCAAAATACACATTATAATACAGTAGTAGGGGAGTTTGAATTTGAGACACTGCCTGTTGTTGGGGAAAAAAAAAAAAGTTGTCTGGTGGTTATTAAAGTTGAAAAAGCTGCAAAGTTAAAATTAAGCTAAGAAGAGTTCCTGTCACCTTCTGGTGCACTGGGAATAATTTTTGTGAAACTTAAGAAATCTGAACGTATTATCCTTGCTTTGTTTTTGCTCAACTACTTGTGGGAGGTGATACTTCCATACAAGATGCTTTTTCTTCCTTTCTCAGACTAACAACATATCACAAAGAAGCTTATGTGCAGCTTCAAGTGTGCAAAAGAACATCAGGCACAAAAAGCCTTTAAAAAGCAGGGAAAAGGGGTTTAATTAGTTATAGAAATTTAGACTCCTTTAATAGATTTCCATATATGTGCCTGCTTGTTTGTAAAATGTAATTTGAGTGTTGGCTACCAGCAAGTGCAAGTGCTCAGTGGATTAAAAAAAATAAAATAAAAATCTTTTTCAGAATGTTTTTCTTGAAGATTTGGCTACCTCAGCATGTGTCACTGACTGCCCCATATAAATCCATTAGCTAAAAGTGAAGATTTTGTTTAGCCTTTTAAAGGATTTATAACACTCACCTCAATTCAGCAAATTATTTAAACAAGAGCTTAATTGCTAGCATGTTCAGAGGATGGGCCAGGACATGTTCCTATTTGAGGTAAAGCAACAGTGACTGCTTCTGTAACTGGGTTAGGCACGGGGGAAGTGTACACATAGGTGACTAATGCTGTCTGAGCCTGTGGTTGGAGCAGGGTGACTGTAGGTTGACTAGTACCTGACTCTGTAGGTTACAGACAGTGGAGAGGATGTTTGTGCACCGAGATTATAATAACTAGCGAGAATCCCTTTCCGTGCCCTTCCATCACTATTTTCTAGTGTATTACAGTGTATTCCTGAAGATACCAGCTTCTTAATTTTTTGATTATTTACATCATTAATAAAATGTGATTGACTAATATAGTTTTTTTCTTTTTTATTTTCTGTGTCCTAAAATACTTCTATTTTAGGAAATACAATTTATCTCTGGGAGTTCTTACTAGCACTGCTGCAGGACAAAGCTACCTGTCCTAAATATATCAAATGGACTCAAAGAGAGAAGGGCATTTTCAAACTGGTAGATTCCAAGGCTGTGTCCAGGTTGTGGGGAAAACACAAAAACAAACCTGACATGAATTATGAAACAATGGGTAGAGCTCTCAGGTACGTGCATTTTTAATAATAGACCATTTTTGTTGTGTTAGTGTGTGCATGCATTCAATGCCTCATCTAATTTGTGTAACAACATTAAAGAGTTAATACTCAGTCATTTTCGGAAATGAAGAAGTTATCTCAGCAAAATAAAGAAGTTAACTAAAAGTAACCCTTCCTAGCCTCAACCCCAAATCAGTAGCTCAGACATTGCTGCTGCAAAAAACGCATCTGAACAGTCAGACAAAGTGAGAGAATGAAGATTCCAACTGGGACAAGCCTTTTACTTAAAATTTGCTTCTCCTTTCTCTAAAAAAATCTTAAATTCATGTATATTAATGTAATTATTTCTACTTGTTGCAAATGAACCTGTTTCCAGTGAAAGCTACAGTTTTGGAGTTCAGATCTGGGAGCATTTCTCTTGACTTGCATGTACAGACAATTTTAAAAGATCTTGTGCCTCTGCCTGTCAGGCTGGGATATTTCTCATACATAAAAGACTGTAAAATAAAGCAGACATCCACAAAGCTTCAGTCTTACCTACGGATTGATATTTGTCTGACTGATCAGCTATGCATTTATTTTCATTTCCTTTCACCCCTCACCTCAAATTATAATTAATTTGTAAATATAACAGAAGTAGTGCTCTCCTGTCCCTGTTCCCTTTCTTGTAGCTCAAATGTCTGCCTGTGGTTACTGGTGAATTAGTGTGACTTAAGGTAACTGAACAAACTTTATGAGTCAAGGGGAGAATTTCAAGATTCATGCAACTTTTCAAGAGTGTAAGTTGATAGCAGGGCTGCCAAGTAATGTAGTTCTCTTTCTCCTCAGAGTAATACAATGTTGAAATTAAAAGATGACAAGAAATGCCAGTAAAAGAAAGTTGTTTGAGGAAAAAAATGCCATTAAACTGGCCTCATCTTTATCATGAAGAAACTAGGCACTTAAACTTTAAGCTTCCACTTGTTACTGCTGGTCTTATTTTCTGGACATTTTTTTTTGCCTTTCTTTGTTTTGTTTGTTTTTTGGCAAAAAAACCCACTGTGTAACTTGATGTCTGTACGGTTTAAACAGATACTATTACCAAAGAGGAATACTGGCTAAAGTAGAAGGTCAGCGCCTAGTATATCAATTTAAAGAGATGCCAAAAGATCTCGTCTATATAGATGATGAAGATGCAAGCCCTAGCACTGAATCATCAGATTCAACTCTCCTCTCAACTCCTGTGGCCAATAGAAACCAGTCAAGCAGATCTAGAGCATCTGCAAACACGGGAACAAAGGGGGGATCTACCACAGCGCTAAAAACAGGAAACTTGAAGGCTGCTGAGCTGAAGGAGCACGTAGAAGTCGTACAGCAGCAGACACCTGGCTTGACTTCAGAAGTTTTGAGGACAATGCAATCTCCACAGCCAGTACATCCCACACAGCTTTTTCGGACAGTTCACTTAATGCAGCCATTACAGCCCCTCACAGAAGGACGTGCAGCTGTAACCAGTAATGTTGCAGATGAAGCATTAAATCCCTCCGTTCAGAATATAAGGTAAGAAAGTGTACAGAAAATAAACATATGAATAATAATAACTTAACGGGGTAATGGCTAGATAGACATTCTTTGTTGTGCTTAAAAAAAATGACTTGCCTCCCAGTTTGGTTGAAGTGAAGTGGTGTCTTTGTGGCTGATCCTGGGAACCAGGAGTTACTACAGAATACTCAACATGTATGCTCATAAATGGTCTGCCATTGGTGGAGGAAGGCATATCTCCCTGCAGTATTTGGCCTGATGCACATCCTTTAGAGAAGAAAAATATACAACTTTTCTTTAAAATAGGTATCAATCCTATCCTGCAATAGGTATCTTCACTTTTGAATTATACATGGTGTGTCTGTGTGATCCCTTAAAGATTTTCCTCCTTGCTTCTTAATTTTTCTTTTTAAGAATTTTTTGTCATCTCTTTCATCTTTCGTATTGTCTGCAGTTACAAAAGGGGAAAGCTCTGTGTTATCTCTCTGGCATTTTGCTGCTGTTACAAAAGCATGTTCTTCCAATTTTAGAGAACAATTAACAGCATAATCTCATGGGAGTTGGATATCTGCAGACTATACTGGGACACAGTCATGCTTCCATGCTTCATTTGTAAGTCAGCTGGCTGACACTACACAGCATTTAAGCATCATGACTCCTTTGCCACCTACACATTAGTAGCAGCATCCTAATTGAAGAGGCTTTAAAACAGTCAGTTAAGCCTGGTTTTACCCTAGCTGAGACATACCCTAGTGGAGATTGTTTATCTTCTCTGACTAAAAGAGACCTAAACCAAATAAATGTTCTTGTAATCTAGGCCCTTCACAGGAATGTCAGAGTTGTATATGGTGATTCTGGACCTTAAAGCTATTTCAGCAAAGTTTCAGGATATATTTCAGGAGCTGCTCATTCTTAATGAGTTGTGAACATCACTTTTTGAGATGTGCTGTGTTAATGTTGCTGCTGCAAAATGGCAATAAAACTATTTCCTGCTCCTTTCTTATATTCTTTCCTTTGAAAATTACATCCAGAGCCACAAATACATTTGGAGTGATACTGACTGTCTGGGGTTAACCATGCAATTTTGTCAGAGATGTAAGTAATGAGCCTAATACGACCAAATAATGTTTTTTTTTCTAAAGTTTTACTCTCTCATCTCTGCTACTAGAGGAATATTGTAGAAGCTAGTTATTAAAACTCTCATGATACAAAAGGAAAATCCAGAATAGCAGTAACAGCTAGGTTTTTCAGAAGAACTGAAAGAAGAACTGAAACTGTTTAGATCAATCTTCAGTGACTGATACAGCAGAATCAATAAGAAATGCTTTAGGAGGTAATAGAGTAGTTGAGGAATCTGAAGATTTATATATAGGAAATGATAAACCAAGACTGCAGTTTCAATCAAGAAAAAAGTTGCATTATATCTTCTTTCCTTTGAGTAAAAAAAAATAAAAATTGTGAAATTTGTCCCTGGACTTCTTAGTTTGAATCCTCTTTTTCTAAAATTTCTTTTAAAATTATGGAATGTTTTCATTCATGTTGCAACATGAAAAATTCGTGCTGAAAAGAGAAATTCACTGGTTAGTAAAGGTTGCAAGGGAATGAATACACTGAACCATGAAAGCAAAAATCCTTATCCAAAACAAAACAGAAAGTTATAATTTATAAGTAGACAATTTTTTTTTTTTTTTGTATTTTAATTCTAAAATGCATGATTTGAAATCAAATTGTATTTTACTTATTGCTCCCACCAACTGAAATTAGTTCAGGATGTATATAAGGGAAAGTTTATATTTGATCAGAAGCTTATGTGGAAGTTATGGCCTAAAGAATTTGACAAAATAAATTTAAAAAAAAGCACAAACAACAACAAACAAAAAAAAGTTTTGCAATTTATTTTAAAAATAAATAAAAATCTGCTTCAGATTGATGTGTGTTCTATGTTTTTAAAGCTTAGGAATGAAGTTATTCAGTAGAGTACAATCCTATGATTTTAGAGTGGATGAAGATTGTAATTACTTGTAAGTTGTAAAAGTGACTTAGGGCAATATAGTGAAAGGAAACGAGTGCAGACATAATTGAAGCTGTACTGTACCATTTAAGTCCATAGAGCAATGCTATTAAACATTAGTAGGGGGAGAGGTCAGCAATTTACAGAGTTAAATAGCTCTAGGCTAGACCTACACTAGATTATATGTCAAAACCGTTATCAGTAATACAGATGCTATAAGAAATGGTGAGAACAAACAGAAGTATCTGTAAGACCTAGTAAGACAGGTAGGCAAGAGGTCCAGCTTAACATTTGGAGAGTTGCTCAGTGACATCATGATGGCCAGTTATTGCGTTACAGTATTTCACAATCAAACCTTGGGCAATAAGCTAACAGGGGAAAAAAAGTAGTAGGGATGATACATGTGTGAACTTGGAATGAAGCAGAAGCCTTAAGCCTTAGAGTTCTGTATTGCATCAGTTCTGATCCCTTGTTTGTAACTTAAAACATTAGTCCACCAAGTCTTCAATTGCACTTTTCTTAGCCAAGATGACAAAGTGTCTCAGATGAAGGAAAAAAACAACCCATGGGATCTTTTCAGTACTTCATGTAATTACTGACTGGTTTAGAAGTATTGCTAATTAAGAAAGGATGTATGGAGGTGTCTGAGCAGTTAGAATGAAAATAAAAAACACAACCCAGATTTTTTTGGTTTGCTGTTTACAGGATGGGCCAAGCTGCAAACCAGGGTGCTGGTGAGTCCTGTGCAGTAGTCACTGCCCATTCCAGGCTCTAAAGATACAATTTATAAGAGACACACATTGCTGCTTAGTTTCAAAATGCAGACTTGAAACAGTTTGAGGTAGAAGGGCACACTGTACCTTTCTCAGAGCATATGTTTTAGGTCTTGTTTTATAATAAAGCTAAAACAAAGGAACTGGATTTTGGGTTTGTTTGTTCAAGCAGCCATAAATCTCTAGCAGCTGAATGTGTGTGCACATTCTGAATTGCTGCAGTGGATTCCATAAGGGATGAAATTAATTATCTGCATGATTTGAAAGCGTACAACATGTACAATTGCCGTTACAGAATAAGAGATGACAAACCTTCTGATGTATGTGTGCTCTCTGTAGGCTTGTGCTTGGAGCCACTTCTTAGTAGTTTTACAAAGAAGCATGAGGACAAATAGCAACATTGGTTGCCAGTTACTGGTCAGAGATTGAGGCATCTAGGTAGTCAGTGTCATTTTGGAGAAAGGGCAACAAGGGTTTGGGAGGGATCGTCAGAATTTTTTCTGACTCATACTGGTTAGTGGTTGGGCTCTGCCTTCAAGCATTAACTTCTTGGACCCATATAATTTGTCTTATGCAATGTAGTTGCTAAAAATTTTTTCATACAAATGTTCTTCCCTCAGCAGCAATTTCCTTCTGTTGTGTTGTGAGAAGAAAAAAACCGATGTGATTAACCACATACTATAGAGAAAACATTAAGGATTTTAGAGGTCAAAACAATTGGCTTCTTTACACTTAACCATATCCTTCAGAGAAGAAGTCTGAACATGTATCTTCTCTGCTAAGGAACTGGGTAAAGGAATCATATTTCAGGAACGTGGTTAAAGGCTTGTGTCACCGTCCCTCAACTGCAGTAGGTGGCATCTACTAGGTAGAGTCTTCTCCCAGAGCATGGCTGGGAGGGCATGGCAGCTGTTCCCCAGGGCCTTTTTTTGCTTCTCAGATAAACAGTGAAAATGAGGGCTGGTTCTTCTCAGGAGACAGACATTTGCTTCGTTTATAGCTGCAAAAAGCTCACGTAGAGTTGTACATTCAGAGAAGGATAGTGTCCTACTCCAAATTGGAAAGGTCTTGTCTTTTGGATGGCTTTTGAGGGGCTTTTAATACAAGTTTTGGGGCTGGTGTATGCAGGAGATGAGAAGTGGCCGGGGAATATGGTGCTTCTTCAGAACTACTGCTTAAACAAAAAGGCTGTGATGTGGTTCTAGCTCAAGCTTGGGAAAAGGGGCAGGAGCAGGGTCAGGTCATGCAAACTGAGTTTTGCTGACCAGGGAAGACATCTAGTATCCCCAGTGGGTATGTTTGGAATTGCAAACTCACTGCTGTTCTGCAGGTCTAACCACTTTGTCCTAGTGGATGCAAGTACAGTCACTGCAGTCGAGCTGTGTAACTGGAGCTGAATTTGGCACCACATGTTTACAGGGATAAGACAAAAAAGTAAAAATGCCTCTCTGGTTTATTTTATTTCTAACTTTTTCCAATAAGCCAGCTTTTTTAAGGACATGATGAAATAAGTCAATTTGACTTTGGCACTTGCAAAATTGTTCTGTTTAAACTAGAATAACTTACATAGGTTAGACAGAATATATAGTTTATTGGAGTACTTGTGTTTTGTCTTGAAATCTGGGGGCACTCCACGTTCATTGGGTCATGCTGGGCATAAAGGGCATCCCTTCTGTTGTTCCAGAAAGTGTATATATCCTGCAAGGCTAGGGACTTAACTTGTCATGGGTAGTCTGGGACATCGTACATGGCTGTAAGGTGCTTGTGTTTGTGCAGTTACATTGCTCCCCTAAATGAGACTAGGACTGCAGACAGGAACATACATTTTAATTTACCTTTAATCTACAGTAGTTGTGATTTAAGATGGACTGTGGATGGAGTGAAAAGAGGTTCTCATGTTACTGACAGTGCAGAAAAGATCATATTATGAGAAACTTAAAACAATATGTCTCTGTTTCCTATTGACTGTATGGGACACAGCTGAGTATTCTAGCTGGCAGCTCTGTCTACCAAGAAACTTTCACTGAGCTGACTGCTGCTAGATCCTGTGCAATGCTTTAGCAGACTTCAGGTTTTAAACATAGTGTTTCCATCAGAATTCAGTTTATTGCTTCTTTTCTGTATTTTCAAGTTGTCACTGTGATAGCTTGGACAGAGCATGTTAGAAGACCAGTATCCTGACTCTGTTCCTTAGCTGGGGGAAAAGCTAATACAGACTACAGAGGACCAGTGGG